GAAACTCCATCTCAAAAAAAAAAAAAAAAAAAAAAGAATTGGGGGGGGACCCTTAAATTGAATATAAAAGGAAACATGAACCTAATTGTATTTCAGATAAATAATATCACACTAATTGGATGAAGCCTAAGTCACTTTTGAACATTGATTCTATACCTCTGGCCAAAGACAAAAAGAACTGTAAACATGTAACTGGATTCTTGTTCGGAAGTTTCTTTTACACAGTAGCATGGGTTAACTACTAAAACTACTTTCTAAAACTACTTTCTCTATATTTTAGCATTGGTCAAATAAGCACATTGTGAATAATGGCAGCAAGGTTTCTAGGGGAAGGCTAGGATGAATGTATGGTTTTTTATAGATGTAGAAATAGACACAGGGTCTTTCTTAGTTTGTCTGCTGAGAAGGCCCAGAAGCAGAGGCCCCAGTAGCAATAAGCACACCTGTTACCCACATCTTGGTTTCTAAATACTGTTCTCCTTGGAAAGGTACTAGGGCTTCTTGGAAGAAGGGGTGATTACAAGACTGGGGCTGGGGCTGGAAACATGTAAGGTAAACCTTAAACATACTGTGCTAGAAAGGAAGTACTCAAAAATGATTGGGACATGCTACAGGAGCCAGCTTGAAGAGGTGCCTACTGGCCAAAGCCAGGACATTTTCAAGCTTCAAAATAAGTAATAATAGTCGTGGATTACAAACTACACAATAAAATAAGAATCTAGAAGACCAAACTGATATAAATGAATCCATAAGTAAAGGAAAAAGGAAAGCTCTTCATTACAGCAGAATGCCAGCTATTAATTGAAGAAGGAATGATGGAATTATAAAATCATTGTTTGACAACCCTGTAATAATTGATTTAGGCAAGTTTGATGAGAAACAGTAATTTATGTAGTCTCAAAGTATCTCCCTCCACTATACCTATTAATTACCAAAGCAAAAGCAGTAATACAAGGGAGAAACCTGGCAGACATCACTATAACCCAGGGATGCAAAATTAACTGTCATCATTAAAGGACAGTAAATAGATATCATGGTGCACTGAAGGGACACAGTGTCCTTCTGGGACATTTCTTTCAGATGGCCTGAATCTGATCTTAAAGAAAAAACCCAAATTGAGGGACATTCTCCCCCTAAAAAGGCCTTTACTCTTTAAAAAATGTTACGGTCATAAGAGGCAAAGAAAGACTGAAGAACTATTTCAGACTAAAGTAGACTAAGATATGACAACTAAATGTGACATAGAATCCTCGACTGGAATCTCGGACTAGAAAAAATTTTCTTTTGAAGGACATTGGATGGTTGGCAAAATTTGAATAAGGCCTGTAAATAAGATTATAGTTTTGTATCAATGTTAATTTTATAATTGTTATAATTGTACCATGGTTAAGAGAATGTCCTTGGCACTTTGGGAGGCCGAGGCGGGTGGATCATGAGGTCAAGAGATCGAGACCATCCTGGTCAACATGGTGAAACCCCGTCTCTACTAAAAATACAAAAAATTAGCTGGGCATGGTG